ATATATATATATATATATATATATATACTGAATTTACTCCTAGCAGGTAAACCTTAGTACTAGCTGGTATGGAGACTTGAGAATGCTGTATTTCACTTAAATATTTATCAATTAATAAACAAAAACTTGTCTCGAAAAGATACATCCAACACCACCCTCTCTTGGAGTTTCCGGATTGAGCTTACTTTTAATATTCAACAAATTGTAGTGTAAAGATACCCCTTGGCTCCTGAGGGGAGTGTTAAGAAATTCAACAGTTTAAAATTATATTTGATAAAAACAACTAACACTCCTGTATCACAAGATAGGCCATGGTTAAAATAACTGTGTGGCCACTGTAGATGTAGTCTCCACAAAATGTGTGCCGTCCATTTATAGAGAGTCCAAATCCACCAAGCATGTGAAGCACTCGCCCAAAGACAAGACCAGCAGAAGTCTTATTAGCCTAAAAGTCAGATTTCAAAACAAAACATTCTCTCATAAACTTTTCTTTGATAATCATCTGAACAAAATTAGTGCCTCCAATTATTACTATTTTTGATTATTCCAATTATCCAAGTCTCATGAGAATAATCAATTAAGTGAATGTAACTGAGTATCGAGCTCGATACCTAGTCAATTATCAAAGTCCACTAACCACCAAACTCTAGACATTAGAACATGACTAGCAAGAACAGTATTAAATTGAATCAGAAGACATATATATATTTTTTTCTTTTATATCAATTTATGGTTCTTTTCAGTAACAAATTTCTACAATAAACCATGTCTTAAATGTATATTTATTTCAATTGTACTTCAGTTACAATGTCGGGTTTTGGAAAAACAAACTTTTACAAGTACATATAAAAATACTTTAATGTATCTACATCTAGCTAAAAATAAAAAATCAAGTATATTTCTGCATCTCAACAACAAAAATCATGATCTTACACTAATAGCTAGCACATCCACATGCTCCTGTGCATAGATCTAAAAAACAAGCACAGTTACAGGAATAAGTGTTTAAACCACAACTAAATGTGATAGCTTTCTGCACTGAAAACTTAACACTTTTATACAGTCTGTGTTTTTTTTTTTTATTATGCATGTACTTCTATATTTTTCTTCTTACAAAGAATAATTACTGTTAATTTTCATTTTGGCAGTTGTTTTGAACCTAAGTTGTTACTTTCATGTCAGCTTCACTTTTTAATAACTAGTTTAGAATACATCTATAGTAAGGTATATTCAGGTAGTTTTTCTAAATCTTCATGCAAGTGTTCTGCACATAGTTATGACATCCATGTTTTCTGGATGTTGAAAGGTAGAAATCCCTTTAACACATAAAGGTTACATACTGCAATTAAAATCTTATGCTAATATGTAAATACTTTTGTATGGACTTTTGTGAAGTTTACTTATTCAAACAAGTGATAAAGAAAACTATACAAACTGACTTGAGAAGAACAGAGTTGTTTAAACATTTGTTTAACAAGTAAAAGCTTGGAATGGTCTATTCTTTCATTGTGGGTGCATTTGTGTACTTGAGAAGCTTTATAGGTGTATACAGAATTGTATCTGAAACATGTTACCTAAGGCATTGTGGGATACCACACTAAGAAGTTTGATCATGCTATAAAAACTGTATCCACATAACTTCCCCTCTCTTGAATTTGTCCTTCACCTAAGCAGCCAAAGGCCAGCAAGTTTAGGAATAAAGACTTTGAAATGTTTAATTTTTCACTTTTTATCTGGTTGCAACTGGAACTTTTCTAACCATTAAGACTTACTGCTGAACAAATAAAAAAAAATGGGTGATCATCACCAAGCACAGAGTTCCAGGAATTGTTAACATTATTTTTTTACAATCATTATAAATTCAAGTCTTTGAAAAGATAAAAATATTATAGAATATCAATACCTCTATATAAAACTGATTTTAAAAAAAATGTATGTTCATAGCTCACATACCAAGCTTTCAAGCTAGTGTTTAGCCTATAAGAGAAATAAAACTACCATACTTTACAAAACAAACTAAACTCATTAGTAAATCTCCTTCATAAACCTAAAAGTCAGGTGAAAAAGAGAAAACAAAGTGGAAAGAGAAGGAAAAGAATGTACCTATGAAATCACATCAAGGAAGAGAATAGAAGAGTGAGAATAGTCCTCCATAAATGAAGCCATGCCTAGAGTAAACACTAATGTGGGAAATAGCAGGTCAAATCACCATCGCCCTGATTATGTTGAAATTGGGGAAAAGGAACAATGGCCAAACAGACAGGACGATACCTCATCCTTGCCGACAGAATAGCCATATTCATCTTGTGTCTCCTTAAGAGATTTTATGCTACTACTCCTGAGCTAAATCCCACCTAAACTCGTGTTTAACGTGAATTGTGCTAGTGCATGATGATGTCATCATGTGACAATAGCCCTCCACCAATAGGAGGGCAACACATCTCTATGTGCAGTAACTTCTTCTAAGCACTTGCACTCGAGATAACTTCATTCTTTTCCTTGCACTGTCTGGTACAGATGTGACAGCCATTGTTCTACATGTTGTGGGCTTCCTTCATACACATTGGATATCCTTCTTTTGCAAGAAAAATAATCAACTTAATTGCATTAAAATTCATATAATTTTTGTGTATATGCACAACTTAACATGTAATACATAAATTATGTATATTGTACGTGTCATTTTTAAATAGGTCGAGTTTACTTAGTAGCAAATTTATCTGCTATAAGAACAAACAGAAAGCCATTTCTTATTAAACCCCTAAAATGTGTAAAAGATATTTTACAAAGACTTTCCAAAGCAAAAAATAAAAATTAAGTTATTAACATTATTTTTTGCTTAATTCCAGAACAAAACTATTTTTAGACCTCAGCTCTTATGATGCAATTGTAGAGATTAGGTTACCTTAACCAGAACTATGAAAACACTTATTAAATAAAATGAAATTAACATCCTTTTTTATCTAATAATTTACTCCCAATAAAAATGGAAATCTTCAAATTGCTTGCAAATATTACATTATTACCTTTGGTGAGCAATAATATGTTGTGCTTGCTACTGGTACTTGTGTAACAAACATTGTAATACTGCGCATAAAGTACAGTAGGCCCATAATAAGGAAGACTCTTCTTAATATGATAAATCTGAAAGAAAAAGGAAAGGTTGTTACAGTTTTAATTTTGTATATTAAATAAACATATAACTCTAGGCTGACATTCGGTTCACTTAGTTACTACTATAAAAATCACAAATTAGCAAAAAGCCACAAATCACTGTACAAAGGCTGATCTCTCACTTGATACTCATTGAAAATTAAGATTACACACTCTCACAAAAAACAAGGGAAAAAAGAAGAGTGTATCAATAATTTTAACACTTGTAGAATCTATTAGTCCTGAGAAGTGATAAAATTTTTTATTACTTTGTGAACACGTATTTTTTTGGAAAAAGAACAATTTTTAATCTATACTAACAAATTATTATTTTTTTGTCATATGCACTCTCTGAAAAATACTTAGATACAAAACTGTATACTAGAGGTATGCAGTACAAATAAATGTTGTATTACATTTTCATTACTTTATCTCTTTCACTTTTCTAAGCACAGATTAGTATAGCTAGTTTCATAAACTGAGAACATTTAAGCCTGTTAGCTTATATACTTAATAAAATATGAAATGGTTATAAATTGTTTTTCTTTCATTACAAGTATTGCTTAATTTCTACAAAAAAAAATATACCGTTATATATATCCTAACACTTGAGTTTGACACTTAAGAAATTAGTAATTGAATATTTTATTTGAATATTAACCTTTTTTCTTTACTTTAGTACATAAACTACACCTCTTGTACTACTATTAATAACAAGAACAAAAAAACAACAACCTTTTTTAGAAGTGGTGCTAGAGACAAGTAATTGTGTTAAACATCATACTAATTCAACTTACCTACTTCTATGCATGAAAATCATAAACAACGTTGACCACACAGCTACTACAATTATCCCTTCAGATACATCCAAAGCCCAGTCAGCAGGTGGAAACAAATCAAAGAAAATGTCTGGTAAAGGAGGATACTTTGTACGGTCTGGCATTCTCTCGTGCACAATTGAAAGGCATGTTAGATTTAAGACTAGATTCAAGGACATGAAAGTAAAAGCAAGAAATGTTTTCCATTTCTCAGAAGGAAACCTTCCTTCATCTCTGTCAAATGAAGTTAAACTAATCCTAACATCATCTCCTGTGTCACTTGAATCTCCATTCATCTTCTGTCTGATGAAACTGTTTTCTAAGCAATCAATCTCTGTTCTTATACAATCACAGTCAACTTCTTTGGTCATAATTCTAACAAAACTGATCTTAGCTGTTAGGGGTTCCTGTTCCACAACATTTTTCAAAATTGGCCAATTCTTATTGTCGGACAAATCTTCTGGATCTTAAAAAACATTATCTGATGAGAAAAAAGCGTATCTATCATGAATCAAGAAATAACAGTTTCATTGTAGTTTTCACAAACTTAAAAAAAATCAACTATCTACTAAAAAGTATAGTACTTTATTTTCTTACGGCAATTCCCATCTAAAGTATTGAAATTACAATTAATAAATCAACTCAATAAACACACGCATCTGAGTATCTAAACTATTGCTTAGTTTAATATTCCAGACGCTTCTGAGCAACAAAACATTTTCAAACCATTTGTAAGTTATTTATCTGCATAAAGTAAATAATAAACATAACAGAACATGAAATATTAATAGATTTTTACCTCTATGACTTTATCAATACCAAACTACATTGAAGAGACCCAAGTTAATTTTCAATTACTAGGACATTAAGACTTGTTTTACTTTCTTAACTTGATACTATTAAATGCCATAGAGCTAAACAGTTTAAGCTATCAAGCCAGTATTTTAAGTAGGTTAGGTTAGTGATGTAGTTCACCATATACATGCTACTAAGTCAAATGAAATATGACCTAAACAGGTCATATAATTAAACATATGGAATTTGTCAAACTTGTTTACCTTGCACATTCTGTTCTAAATACTCTTAACACATACATTACAATAATCATAATAAATATGATAAAAAACAAAAAAATAGCAAACAATGAACCACGTGTGACATTATGGATAAGCACATGACAACATATGAATTAAATCCCACTGCACTTTCTAAACATGGCAAAATTATGTGTGCGTATGTGTTTAATATATATATTGAAAAAATTAACCATTTAGAGGCATTGAAACTTCTTTAACCTATACATGCAAAAAAGAATAGAAATATAAACTGTAGAAAATGGCAGCAGGATTTAAAAGTGGAAGTTAAGCTTTTATATGCAAGGAATAAAGTAGTAAAAATGACTTTCAAAAAGTTAGAAACAGTAGTGTTAGGGTTAAAAAAGTAGTACATTTAACTGTATTGAGTAGGTTCTGTTAAGTAATTAAATTCAGTCTAGCTTGTGCAGATGAGGGAAGGAAGAGGGAAGGAAGAGACAACTGTAGGTGATTCTTAGGTACTGCACATGGATAGGATAGTCCATGGGGTAAATAGGGAGAAAAGAACTATATTATGCTATTTAGGGGCAGGGGTAGAGAACATAACTGATATGATATAATAAAAGGAGGTGCTAGCAGTGGTGCAGTCTTTATTGTGCACATATGGGCTAATAATGTAGGGAAGGATATGTCATAGGAGCTAGGACCATAACTTCACTTTTTAGGGATACTTCCAAAACATAATTGTAGAGATGAAATTATAAGTAGGTCACTAGGGCTGAATGCTAGGCTTAGGTTAATATTGACAAGCATATTAGCTGGTTGGACTTGTGTGATCACTTTGAAGGAAAAGAAAGCTTTTTGGAGTGAATGGTTTACATTTAAATAGGGTAGAGGGCTAACTTGTTAGCATGAAATATTAACTCAGCTGTAAGGGCAGCTTTAAAATTGGGATAAATAGTAGTGAGGGTCTGGATAAACTAACTGCAGAAAAAATAAGATGTGGGAACAAAATACAGTAGTAATTTTAACATTAGTCTAAACTGTTACTATTGTCATGCTAAAAGTATAAGAAATAAAACGGTTTACTTTAAGTGCTAGTCAGAATGGGGAATTTTGATATAATAGGACTAACTGAAACTTGATTAAATATAGACAATTTTTATGACAAATTTCTTGGAAATACAGGGTTACAAATTACTTAATAGGGACAGAGTACTAAAAAGAGGGGAAAGAATGACTATTTATGTAAAATGTGAGTTGCACCCAGTTGAATTTCAAGATATCAAAAATAACAGCAAGGAGACAATCTATTTGGGTTTCTATTAGTGGAAATATGGAGAGAAGGCTTTTATTTGTCACGAACCACCAAATAACTGATAGAATTAATAAGAAACTTTTCAATAATATTAAGATTTTAGCTGTTAATGAGGCTACAATAATGGGGATTTTAATTTCTGGTACAAAGATTAGGAAATTTTAGAGTCAAAACATAAATGAAACAAGTTTTTAGAAACTATTCAGGATGGTTTTCTTCATCACTTGGTCAAGAAATCTGCTTGGAAAAATTTTATTTTAGATATATTGTTGACTTCCAATATAAAAATAGTTGAGAGATTGGAGACAGAGGAACATCTAGGTGCAAGTGATCATTTCCTAATTAGGTTTGATGTTTTGCCATGTGTGAAGATAAGGAATAATGAGATTTTGGATATAAATTTTAAAAAACTAATTTTGAAGGGATACAACAAAAATTATCTGTTTTGAAATGAGTAACTGAATTAAATGGAGATATTGATCAAATGTAGAAAATTTGTAAATGTTCAAGATTGACACATTCCTTATAGAAATAAAAAGATGGCTGCAAGTAAAAGACCAAGTTGGCTCACAAAGAGTAAGGGATAAAAATAAGGAAAAGCATTAAACTTTAAGCAGTTTAAATTGACTGCTTTGACAGTAAACAGAGGATTACACAAGACCAAAAGAACTGGTCAAACAGGACATTGGGAAATCCAAAAGAGTATGTAAGGAAAGATTGTCAGAAACTATAAAAATTACCAGTAAGGTTTTCTTTAAGAGCATTAAGGGTAAGCAAAAAATTAAAGTGAGAGCCTTTGTGGGATGATACATGAAGTCTCATTTCTGATGATTATGAAATGGCTAAGTTGCTAAATTCTACTTTTCTTCAATTCTTACTAACGAAGATTTAAGTGAGATTCCACATCCTGAACAATTGCTAAATGGAAACATGATCAAACACAGAGGCATCGCTAGGCACTGGCACATGGGGCTCATGCCCTGATTGTATGTGACAGTGCCCCAAATCCCCAGTTGGTGTCTTGAAAAATCAGGATAGAAAACTGTGATCAATATCATACTGAAATTCCAAAAATTTCCTCACCTATGGGCCTGAGCCCCTAAACTTTTAAGCACCAAGTGATGCCTCTGATCAAACAAGATGATCAGACTAGTTCTTAGCTTGTTAAGAAAAAAAAAACGTAGTTTAAAGAACAATATGTCTCCTGGGCCATATAATATTTCTCCAGGTATTTTGAAGTACACTAAAAATTGGATCTGTAAGCCACCTGCTAATACTTTTATGTAAATTCTTGAATAATGGGCAGATGCCAGGAGATTGGAAATTGGCTAATGTTATTCCTCATTTCAGGAAAATGACAAAAATTGTTTCCATAATTATAGACCTATTAGTTTTACATGATTAGAGGGAACATTCTCAAAAGTATGATTAAAGTGCTTTACAAAGTCATTTGTTTTAAAACAGTGTGCTATTGCTAGTGGCAGGTAAATATGATATTAAGGTTTATCTACATAAATATTAGGTCTCATTTGGAGTATTATGTTCAGTAATGGGCTCCTTACCTGAAGAAGGAAATTGAATTGAAAGGGTTCAGAAAAGAACTACTAGGATGATACCTGGAATGGAAAGGTTGTCATAGAAAGACAAGTTAAGATCTATATATTTTTTTTTATCTTGAAAAAAAGACAAGTAAGATGGGATATAATTGAGGTGTTTAACATCATTAAGGGAACTGATACTGTGAATGCATAATTTTTTTGTACTTAATGGTGAGAATGGTAGGACTGGTGGACATAAAAACAAATTTTGGAGGGTAGGAGTCATTTTCAGTAAAGATGGTTTTATTTTGCTAACAGGGTGGTTGGCCTTTGGAACGCATTTCCTTTAGATGTGATGTATGCAGTAAGCTTAAAGGAGTTTAAAGGACAGTTTGATAAACACGTAAATGTTAAGGACTGCATCTGATTTTTTAGTTTATTTTAGTTTGGTTTGGTGTATGGACCAGCAGGTTCTTTGTTCTCCTTAAATTTTATGTTATGATGATTCCTACACTACAAAACTTTATTTTGAAAATAAAAAGATAAAATAATAAAATATCATACTTTTTATAGTTAATCATTATGCATTAGTTTATTGTTTTTAAGATTATGAAAGTCTGTATATTCAAACCTTTCCCAGAAAGATGTGACATGAAACAAATAACTTAAGTATGTCCAAATACTGAAGAGTCAATGATCATGCCCAATATATTTGAGACACTGGGTGCGAGTTATATTTAGAGACAAGATTTATGTCTAAACATAAGACAGATAGTAATTCACTATTATTACTGAAGCTTTTAATATATTTTAATACTTTTCCATTCCACACTGAAATCACACTATAATTAAAAAACTCATTTACTTTCTTCATTAAAATTACTCGTTTCATCTCGTATTCCATTTAACCAATTCATTAACTGAAAACGTACTATAACCCAAGATATATGGTATGTGTTCAAATGTTAAAGTTACAGATATCTCATTACAATTATTAAACTTACTATTCCACGTTAAAGAAGCAACTACAATGCAAGTCCATGGAGTATTAAAATGTTTGATTGATAAACATAACAATTCTCATAGTAATTGTTAAACTACAAAAACATTGGTGATTCATATTTTTGGCACAGACTTTCCTTCACTCATTACATAATAAGTTCATCTCAAGATCTGTCCCAAGACTGGGCTAAGTTTAAAGTTGGACATAAATTGTTAATGATGTAACAGCAAATTAGCAGTAGGGCTTAGGGACCTTCCAAGCAATATGTCACACCTTCTAACTCTTACCTCCATTTCTTACAAGTGGTCACTACAAACCATATATTCCACATAAATACCCCCTCCCCTTTATTTTAAGGTCAATCTGTTATCTACTCTAGCACTCTTAAGAACTTCCAGTCCAGCCCTTTCTCTTGTGGATAAATATCTGTAAGTGTAAATTACACTTTGAAAAATTTAGCTTTTGAATTTTATGTATTTCCTATGTGCCCTTAAATTCATAGTCTATTAATATCTAGGTGTTTTTTTAACTTAAACTGAAGATGGCATAATGAATACTTAATAGAGAAGAAATATATTTCTTGTGATAAATTCTGCATTTAATGGTAAGTATGGTAAGCCAAGGGGACACAAATGTAAAATTTGGCAGGTTAGGATTCATCTTCAGCTCAGACAGTTATACTTTTCTAACAAGATGACTGGTCTTTGGAGTGGGTTGCCTTCAGATGTGGTGGATGCAGTACTTTTAAGGAAGCTTAAGGAAGAGTTGATAAATATCTAAATGTTCATGGTCAATTTAATTTATTTTTTCTTAAGTGGATGGGACAGTCCTGATGGTCTGACATACTCTTCATTGTTTTCCTTTAAATACTATGTTATATTAAACTTTTTACTCACCTCAACATTTCACCTTGCTGCTTTCTCAAAAGGTTATCTATTACTATTAGTTGTTCTGAATTTTCTTGAGAGGTAGTACTAACCTTCTGAGAAAGCCAAAACACATTAGCCATTTTCCCTAGAATTGAAGCTGTTTCTCTCACTACTATTACCAACAAATTGCTGTAAGTGTAACTATATTTTTTTACCCACTGATGCAATTCAATTTAAATTCATTTCTATCTTTTAAAGTTCTAGCGTTGAAAAAACATGTCATACTTCAAAACCCTCACTCAGAATCCATGACCATGTGACATTTTGTCACTACCATCGCATCCCTTTCATAGCCAACGCCTAGCACATATTTTGAACGATCCCTTATCATGAACTAAAGTCCAACTCTGAGTCTAAGGATACAGCCTACAGTATGTACTACTAGTAACATTGAAATTGTGTGAAAGTGGTAGTAAATTAGTACTAATATTAGCACTTAGTAATACACGATGTTGATAATACAAATTCTGGGACATACCCAAGTATTTTAGTTATACTTCTAAGTACTACTAGTAGTAGTACTGAGTCCTCAGCCTTCGCAAGGAATAAGACTAAGAGGAGGATGACTCGTGAGTCTGACGTTAGCTTTTAAAAACTGACAATGACCCTCCTCTAAAATCAAAATAACATCTAGTGTAAAATCGTTAATCATAAGTACGTTATTTTGACTGATATTTTATTAGGAAACTTACCTTAAGTCACGTCAAATATATACAAACAATAACACTAGAAGTACAAACACACTATGTTACGCTACCTAAGCTAAAGCCTACAGTGCGTAAAGATTTTAATGCCTTAATCATTCCAACTTCCGATCAGCGCTCTCTGAAATATATAAAATAAATTAAATTTTTCTTACTTTGTTTTGTTTAAATTTTGCGTTACCAATGTCAAGCAAGCAAATTTATAAAGAATATTTGCTTGTTTGTTTTGTTTTCAGTGTAAAACTATACAATGGGCTGTCTGTGTTCTGGCCGCCTCAGGGAAATGCGTCCCAAATTTTAGCATTGCAAGCCTGTAAACTTACATGCATTCAAACTGATAATTCTGGTGGCTCAGCGGTAAGTTGGAGGCTTATAATGCTAAAATTCAGTTTTTGATATCCGCGATAGGCACAGCACAGCTAGTCTATGGTGTGGTTTTGGTCCCCAGGTGGAACAATGGTGAGTTTCTGAACTTACGTTGCTAAAATTCGGGGTTTTATTCCTCTCGGTGGACAAAGTGTACGTATCTCATTGTGTAGCTTTGCAGGAAGAAACCAACGATAACTATGTGTAGCTTTGAGCTTATCAACAAATTAACAAACTGAAACTAATAGGTGCAGAAATAATTCTAAAACAGCAATTTGGTTACTCATTTATCGTTCATCCATATTATAAGCCGTTAACAAGAAATAGAGCAACGATTAAGTCCAGTTTAAATAGTAAAAAAAAAAAATAATAACATTTTTTTCAGTCGACCATTGGCCCCAGGAAATTGCTCGATACATTTGGTAGTCAATCCGCCATTGTGCTAACCCACTAGAGACTATAAAGAAGGCAATAAAAACACTTACATTATGAATCGAACTACACAAATACTACTTATGATAATATATTTTAGCTATGTCTTTTCACACATTTGTACAACAGCTGGGCTGTGACTCTGAAGTTCTGTGTTTTGCCTCCCATTACCGCCAAAACATCATAACAATGGTGATCTGCAATTTGACCATCACTTTTATAGCATATCCACGGCCACAAGCGTGGAGCGCATTTTTGCAGTAACAGGGTGCATGAACTATGAACCCTAAAATTCATAGTTTGCGCACACTAACCACAAGATCACACATGTAATGGCTTTTTAAAGTAAGATGTTAGACTATAATTTTCAGTTCTTTCAATCTGACACCGAAAATTGAAATAAAAAACACAATATTATCATTTGTCAAACTTCTTTTTAATACACTCTCGATTCGTTTCAGAATTCTTGGCTTTACTACAAACAAAAATAAACATTCACTTACAATGTTTGACAGCCAAAGAACGACATTAGCATTATTCGTAACTTAATACAAATTGCACTATCCTTCGTCATCGGGATTCGGTCCATATTTTGGATCAGGGAGGGTCATATTCAGTCTTGACCTAAATAAAAAATGTTTACATCTATCTATCTAAGTTGCAGCCATCCCTTTTTGGATGCAGCTCTCTGTTAGACCAATCCAGTATTTCCTATTCTTAGCATACCGTGTCCATCTGATTCCTACTTCTACCACTATATCGTCCCTCTATCTTATCTTTTGCCTTCCCTTAGTTCTTTTCCATGTCCTATGTTTCCATTCCATTGTTCTTAATGCCCACCTATTATCAGAATACCTTGTAACCTGCCCAGCCCATATACATTTAGTTCTTGGAATGAACCTTATTGCATGTATTATATTTGTTGTTTTTCTTATTCTGTCTTGTAGTGTTATGCGAAGTATTTTTCTTTACATATCTCTTTTGTTAGTGCCCATGTTTGGCAGCCATATGTTAAGGTTGGTAGTACGCACTGATCCATGATCTTATTCTTCAAAGTAATGGGGATATCTTGATCTTATAGAATTTCTTTATACATTCCAAAACATCGCCATGTTTCATTTATTCTTATTTCGTTTGTGAATCTTGTTCTGTCTTCCCCGCCTCATATATCCATGCCCCTTTCGTTTCTCCAATAATTTTAGTTTCACTTAGACCTAAGATGCACCATTTCATTTCTTTAGCCTCTTCCAGTAATCTTTCAAGGTCATCATCGCATGTTAAAGTTCTTACATTGTAAGTACAAATATGTATGGTAGACTTGCAAGTTCCTTTATCGGTCTGTGATCTTCCATTTGGATTGAGAACAGAGACGTCATGAAGCAGAACCAGCTTTCTTCCATTTGGAGAATGCTGCATCGCTTCACTTTCCATACTCTGATGGGATTTCGTCCCTTCGCTAACGCGCTGGCTGGGCGTTTTGTTAGTGGGTATCTTTATAGTGACACCATCAGTCTCAGTGTTTCGCTAACTGAAATAGTTACAGCCAGCTATTGATCAAAATGATTCTTCTGACTGCCAGTATTCTAACTCTGACCGTCGAATGTTCATATAGATAGCCTAAATACAAAAAACCCAGGAGAAAATATAGAAGGGGTACTTTTGGTGTTTGAGCACCTCGTGCCTCTCACCCCTTAAATTCACGACACGAAAATCTTAAGTGTCCTTTTTTACCAACGATCGGCGAAAAGAAGCTAAAGCGCGACGCAACTATATACATATATATGTGCTACTGTTCTTGAGAGATTTATTCTAAAACAAATTTGAAATGTGAATATTATCTGAAATTTCGGGAAAGTAATTTGGGTATTTGTGGTTTTAATAGTACTAGAAACAAAGTTTAATTTGCATGAATTAGAGGCAAGAAGAACAAAGTGCTTGTTGCGTATTTGCTTGTTTGTT